TAGCATCCCTATACATAGCAACCTAAAAATAAAATATTTCGTTTTAGTGCATTATTCCTCACAAATATAACAACTCAATGAAGTTCTTACCCAAACATTAAATAATACCTCTTGTATTGTTGCTACTTAGTTTCGATGGCTTCTCTCCAACCTTGCAATAATGTATCTGACCCCTTCCATAATCTTGTGGGGATGTTCAGGTGTCAAATAGATAAATTTTGTTGAAGTAGTAACCTAAAAAATATATAGATAGAAAAATGTCATTTACAATTTCATAAAAAAATGATTTAAAATGAAACATTCTAATGATATAAATATATATTTACCAGCATAATGAATTGAACGTCCAAATTTGGTGTTCCACCTCTTTTCTATAATCTCGATCACTTTGCTAGCAAAACTACGCTTCTCCTCAATAGTTGATTTCGCTCTCTCGATACCTTCATAAAAGATGCCCATGGTAGCTTTCTTATCAGCATCCACCATTCTTAGCACCGTGACCAAAGGGGCAGTGGCCTCTACAACACTGGAACATTGAGACCAGAACCTCCTATTTGAGACTATGTCGTCCACTTTTATACCGATACTGGACTTCGAGAGGCGGTCATTTAACCACTCTTCACAGGTAAACCATCTCTTTAATGCACCTTCAGATTCCCGAATGGAGTCCACAGCTAAGTAATCGTTCGCAAAGCGGGTTATGGCAGGTCTGATTATCTCTTTTTTCTTAGAGTGTTCTCTAAATAGAAATAAAATTTTAGAGTGATTGTATATAAATCTCGACACCAACTTTGCTTCATCTAGAGTCTCCTTCACAATTTTGATCTCACTGATCTCCTCTAACATAATATTGATGTTGTGTGCAGCACACGGGGTCCATACTGGATGCTTCCTCTTATCCATCAACTTACTGCCCGCAGAAACACATGCACGCGCATTGTCCGTAATGAACTGGACTACATGCTTATCTCCCACCTCCTCCACTATCTGATCATATAGTCGTACATAGAAGTTTGCATCCTTCTTTGTCCCTGATACGTCTTTGCTAGACAAAAAAGTTGTACCTTTTGGGGAATAGGCCAAGAAGTTTAAAAACTCATTTTTACTAACTTTATTCAACCAACAATCACTCATGAGAGTAATGCATGTCCTTGGCCAACTCTGTTTATATTCTTCAATCCACTTTGTTACTTCCTCCACCTCTTCATCTAATATTGGCCCACTGAGCTCATATACCGTCGGGGGTTTTACCCTGGGCCCGACGCTTTGGATTGCACTGACCATAGGTAGGAAATATAGGCTATTGGCTGCATCAAAGGGAATCCCTTTATCGTAGAACCATTTACCTACATATCTCCCTAACATGTTTATTGTACCTTTAACCATGCTTTGAGGGTCATCTGTTCTGACTTGGGCTTTGAGAGAAATGGGTATATACGACCATGACCTGCAATACTGACACTCCTAGGTAACCTAAAAACAATTTCTTCAATGTCTGATTCTTCTTGATACATATTGCCACCAACCCCTCCATACATATTTGAGCTGGGCCCGCCATACATACTCGAGCTGTGCCCGCCATGCATGTCTGAGCTAGGCCCACCATGCATGTCTGGGCTAGGCCCACCATGCATGCCCATGTCATAACCACCTGGCATTCTAAACTCGCGTTCCCTCTAGTATGTTTCATGCAAACTCATTCTTGTGGCTATCTCTAAGTTATTATAATACTGCTCTTCTAGATCATTTCCGCTTGATGGATTACATAAACTAGCTATCTCTTCATCCATCATCTGCCTTGCATTTTCTTTTTCTTTTGGTAGCCTTGAGAAATGTTGCCATCTGCTTTCTTACATTATTAGGGACACTATTGCGTGTAGAAATATCTCCCTTAACCCTGCCAAGTGTTGCTTGAACCTATGTACCCTACTACTTATCATTTTTTGGCAGTAATTACAAATAATTTTGTCTTTTTTGTTGGGGTCAAGTCTGACCCCATGTTATCATGCAGGGTCTTCTGCAGATCTTGCCATGGTTCAACTTTAAAATGTAAAAGGTTAAAAATTAACCTGACAGTTGAACATAAAAAATAATCACCATGTGTAGTGATAATATGTAGGGGTAGTTCATGAAGTTATATTTGTAAGTTAATGCAAAATACTTCTATTGACAAAATATTTTAATTTCTACTAGGAAAAATAATTTATTTATGCAACATTATAGATAAAAATAGCCTATATCAGCCACTACATAAAGAACAATAAATTTACATTGATATAGTATCAATAAAAAATATATTTACAAAGGTATAGTAATTCACAATGGCAATACATATGGACTTGTCACAAATCTTCATTTCGACAAATATGAATTAGTTCCTACTGAGAAAAATATATATTTATGCAACATTATAGATAAAAAAAAGTCTGTATAAGTCACACATGCCAAATATTCATACATCTCAATTACAAATATGCAAGATAATATAATAAAAAAAGCAAGCTCCAAACATGCCTACAACTCAATTATCAAGAACATACATTTTTTGCATTAAAACTTTAATAATAAAATTGATAATTGCAAGCTAATATAATTATCATACATGATATTTTACAATGATATTCACTTTAATTTCTCATGATAATACAATTTAACAACATGTATTTTTTGCATTAAAAATTTAAAAAACTAAAAATACTTTTTTAATGCAAAAGTGCATTAAAAATATAATACAATTTAACAACATGTATTTGTTAATGTATTTTTTTGCATTAACAACAAATTAAAAAATACAGTTTTGCATTAAAAATATAACAACATGCCACGATTTTTTTACAATGATATTCACTTTAATTCCTTATGATATACAGTTTAACAACATGTATTTTTTGTATTAAAAATTTTAAAAATTAAAAAATTAAAAAAACTTTTTTAATGCAAAACTAGCATTAAAAATATAATACAGTTTAACAACATGTATTGTTAATGTATTTTTTGTCATTAACAACAAATTAAAAATAGCAGTTTTGCATTAAAATATAATAACATGTATTTTTTGTCATAATAATCTATCAACATGCAATTTTT